CCACTCGTGCTCTCTGCGTCTCTCTGCTCCGTTTTGCGCACATTTTGCAATGTGAAACGGTTACCGTTTCGCGAGCCTCTCCTTCGCACTCTCCCACATCCACATCCATATTCACAATCACATTCACATGCGATGCGGTTGCGGTTGATGGCTGATGCTGTGCATTGCGAAACGGTTACATATAACCGCTTGCAGCTCCTGCCTCTCGCTCCCACACGAGCGTGTATTTGACATTTGCGTTTTTTCCTCAATACCTTCTCTTCTTCCTCCTCTTCGGATTCGAATTTCCTTGCAGACGCCAGACGACCTTCATGCTCACTTTACTGTTATGTGCACTTCTCTCCGCGGACGATGGGCTCGATTTTGAGTCGAAATTCGGGTTCCACTTCGAGTTGCTTTGCAGTTGTGTAGTTGGGGATTGCGCACGTAAGCCATTTAGGCAAAGACGTCAAAAAGATGCACAGTCGAACGTCGATAAATGCCAGTTTCCCAACTCAAAATCCTAGACAATACATATTTCCGATACTAACCGATTCAGTTCCACAACCAATTCGCCCAGCAAGGACTTAAACCTTAACTGCAACTGTTGTAACAGATCTATTTATTCTTGTAATTCAAAATATCTTATTTTCAACCATATGTTATTTATTCAACAACATGTTTTTTACACAAATACTTCACCTATGTATGCATTGTAGAAACTTCACTGTACTTACAACACATTATCGACTTCAACTTCGACATGAAAAGACAGCTGGCAGAAGAACCGCAATCAATTGACCAGTTTTTGGCATTGAATAAGCCGAGGAGTTAAAAAAAAGTGGAGATCAAAGTGAAATTTGTGGCATTTAGTTGTTGGTTGATTGTTTTTATTGTTCAACCGGTTTTTATTTTATTTTGAACCGTGTGTATGTGTGTTTGCCAATTGACAAACCACAACACGAATTTTGCCAAGTAATTGTCATTACATTACATTACACACCTGATATCGAACGGATATTCAACGCAACTAGTTTGTCGTATTAATCGACAATCGATGGAACCACCGAAATTGCTCCAATTTCTGTCTATGGGGTGATGTTTTGTGGCCTCAAGTTATATTTTTTTTGGCGGCTTTAGACAGCCACATGTTTGGATTTCTCACCACTTCCTGGTTATATTTTGCATTGTTATACAAGCCAATAACCGGGAAGGATTATGACGAAATGGAAAATATTTTCAAAGAAAAGGCCGCTTTATTACTTTTAAATATGTATCACTTAAATTTGAATACATTAAACCAATTTATTTTCCAAAAAGGAAATAGGATAGGAAATGAAAAGTACTAGGATTTTGATCACAAAATAGTTAATACAGAATTTCCGATTGAGTAATAAATAGGTTAGACCACACTGCGTATGAGTCATATTTTTGTAACTATTTCCTAGGAAATGTATTGGGGTCTTACCTAAACAATATTACAAAAGCCATTCTTTTTGTAGATTATATAATGCTTGGTATTATCTTTGGTCAGTTATCTTCGGTTGACACTATTTAACACTGTTTACTGGAACATTTCCCAATCGAACAGACCCTGAGGCCGAAAAATTGAACCACTTCCACCTGCAAAATCGGATGACGAAAGTCTCACACACAATATAATGCCCGCAAATTAACAGAGCCACGATGTGACGATCGTTTGATATATCACCATCTAATGGGGCAAGGTCAGCACAGGTTTTCCATGCGAATGTCGAGGAAACTCCGCTTCCCCTCCACAAATAAACAAATAAAACTTGACATTAAAGACACAAATAAACTTGTCAAACCTTTTTTGCGATGAGTTGTGCGTCTTCTTGCCGGCTATTGTTTTGGTTTTTTCTTGAGGTTTTTCTAACTTGAAGACATAGGGCCTCCACTAGTCAAGGGCTATACTTTGAGGGACAAGTAATCTTAACTTGAAGGGAAGCCCAGACCTTTGATGGGAATCTTGGGAATGCAAACCTTTAGTTTGAAACTTGTTCTTGGGTTTGATTGTAATTTTGATAATATATTTATTTAGTTCATTATTTGAAATCCTTAGGAAGTTACCATCCACATCTTACCAAATAGAAATCACTCTCTAATGAATACTAACGCATCATAATGACTCAAAACACTTTCAGTTCCCAGGCTTCTGTGCATATTTAATCAACGATTTCCGCTACAATTACAATTAGTGTTACTATCTGGGGGGCACACACACGTCACGGCGTACAATTTCCGGCACTAACCGCTCTTCGCTCTTTGGTCTTCATGAGCGGTACGAGTACTACTATACCATATACCATACGCCCATTGCCCCAGACGTAATATTTCTTTTGGGCCAATTGCCCAATAAACAAACATATTTTGCTCGAGGGCAATTAAAAGTGAAAATAGAAGAGGCCCCAAAAAAAAAATACAAATTATGTTGGGTAAAGTGAAGAGGAGCCTCCCGCCTCCCCTTTCTCCTGGCCAAGCGCCCCCAGAAGAAAGCTCTAAGTGGGGTGACATAACAATTACGCCCCTCCGCACCCCCTTCTCTCATTTTTTCAGCCTCTCTAACCATGGCTTTATCTTTTCGCTGAGTCATATACATCGGTATCTCCAGTTTGGGCACTGAAAATGAACTTCATTAAACGACAGATGCATGAAACGAAGTCATGGAGTAATAACAGCAAGTGCGCCGCGTACTCGTAACTCCCTTAGAAATGACTGCGTGACACGATTCTTAAAATCTGGAGTTTTTTTGGGAATAAATATCACTTATTTCCATGTTAAGATATTGCCCAGTTTTTATCTTCTTTTATAGACATGGGAGAAAATTATCACCCATTTCGAAACACCTGTCTAAATTTATTGTTTACCTATTATCCCCAAAGATTTATTGATATACTATATAGATTTTCTGATTTTAAATTTTCCAAATTTAAAAAGATTTAAAATTAAATAAATTGAAAATATTTTTAGCTAAAAATGTTTTTGGTTAAGTAAGTATATTTTAATGCATCACTAATATGCTACAATTACAATAAATTTAAGAAAAGCAGTCTTCAATTTTTAAATAAATATAAATGATATTTATTAAATATACAAAAATATACAAATCTAAATAATTTGAATTTAATAAAATTAAAAATCAATTTGCATTAACCGAGTTGAATATATTATTTAATCATAGTAGAATGCCATCTATTTGAGTTAGATATATTTTAAGTTTTGCTCTTTTTTTGTGTGGGTAATTAATAAGAATTACTCTCTTACAATTCAGTTTATTTATCCGTGAGTTTCCCTGCAAGACAACCTCAAATCACGTCCATCTCCGATTTGTATCTCGGCTCGTGTATCTGAACAGCAGTCGCGCATGGCAGATTTGGCCAAGTCTCTATACAGATGCAGGTTCCCTATGTATGTGGGTTACCATGGGCGGTTGCCAAAAGGGGGCGGGGCGGACAGTGGCCAACTGGTAGTCGGCGGCTGACATCTCGGCCAGCAGTCGTAAACCACAGCGAACATATCTCATCCCAATCACTTAGCTAAACTGTTCACTTTTGGTTTTGTATGGCTTTCGGAACTTTGGAATTTTCGTGCGTACTCCCGCGTAGCTCTTTCAATTTTTCACTTTCCACTGACTGAATGTGTCAGGTTTGCCATATCCCCCATATCCCATATACATTATCTTGGCTTGTATCACGAGCGATTTCGTTTAATAGGTTTCCATTTTGCGGTTTGGTCAAGTGCATGGCTGGAAAAGGGCTATTACGTGACCTTTGTTTAATTGTTTGAAAGGAGTGGGGACTTAGATAGGGTAACCTCTCACACTAAATGGAGCAATTGGTTAAAGTATATTTTGCAATGAGACAGATAATACAGACAAGTGGTTTTGTTCAGTTCAATTTATAAATTGAAAAGTGTTTAATGGCTCAGATTGTACTTCAATTCAATTTATAATTCAATTGCGGGATATCATAATGTCTTTTATGGAGCTATTAAATTCTCTTTGTGAAAAACCATAATACAAAATGAAATTATTGTCTTTTAACTCAAATGTGTCAATGTGATAAGAATTTATGGGTTGGGAAGGAAAACTCCTTAGTTTATTAATTAACTTATAAAACATATATATATTAATTTTGTTTAGCCGAACTGCTTCGGGAAGTGTAGGAACCAGTTATTAACTTCAATTATAAAATAAAATAAATGATCTGATTTAAAAAATTAACCAAGACACGTCTTTATCTCGTTTACTATCCGCTGATCTGAGCTTTCCTTCACACCTCGATTATACAATTACGGGGCTTCCACCCACTTGGCGGCTTACTTGGCCAACAATTAATTGCGTTTAGTTTGGTATGCAGCGCCAGCCATTAGATGAAAACCGAAATGCTTAAACAAAACCAAAAACTGGCACGCTTCGCGGCGCCTGGAAATATTATACATATTGCGTTGGTCGAGGGGCATGGATAATGAGTTGTCCGCAATGAGCGGCAATTTGCTAGCCGAAAATCGAAAAATATATTATATATAGATGTATAAAAAAAGGCGAAATGAAAAGTGAAAGCTGTCAATCAAAGCCAAAACGTAGCTAACCAGGCCGAGCATCAAGTATCGCCCAGATTCAATACAATCGCCACTTAATGCTGATGGTGCAGTTTTCGTTTTTGGCGCTTAAATTAGTGTACCACTTGAAATTCACACCCGAAACTAAATTGGCAGGAATTTTGTAATATCCTCATTGAGTTAGAGTTTAATTTAAAATATTTATTAAAAGAAATTTAAAGCGGTTAAATCTTAAAAACAGACATTTACGTTGGCGTAAGTACTTTCTGCTAATTCATAACAGTTTTACAGCCACTGTTCACCCGTTTAGCTGAGACCGCAACCAAAGGGAGAAGATCTCGAATCGGTTATGTAGAAAACCCTAAGGAATTTACATGAGCAAGTATTTTACTTAAGAATATTACAAATTTTTTATATTCTTAATAAAAATACCTGAATAGTTATATTTTAAAACGCATATATTTATTATAACAAAAAAAAAGTGACAAAAAATGGTAAACTTATATCGTAGAATATCGCAGAGCTTAGAGCTCGGAATGTTTGCCGCCCAGATACTCCTCCTTGATCATATCCGCGCCCTTTTCGCCGATCATGATGCAGGCTGCATTGGTGTTGGCCCCCACAATATCGGGCATGATGCTGGCATCGATCACCCTCAGACCCTTGGCACCATGCACCTTCAACTGGGGATCCACCACGGCAGTGGGATCGCTGGATGGACCCATGCGAGTGGTGCCCACCGGGTGATAGACTGTGGTGGTCATGTGGCGGATGTAGCAGCGCCAGTAGTCATCCGACTGGTAGGTCAGCCCATTGCAGGCCTCCAAATCGAGCTTGTGGAGTGTGGCTTCCCTCTCACTGAAGGCTTTGGTCTTCGGCAAGTTCTTGTAGATATTCAGGGCCCTAATGTAGGTATCCACATCGCGTTCGTCGGTCATATAACCGGGATCTAGAATGGGGGCCTCCAAATAGTCCGTCGACTGCAGGGTCAGACTTCCCGCCGAGAAGGGCTTCAAGTGGAGCAAGTACGTAATATAGGTATTGGTCTTCTGGTTGGCCGACAAAATGCTCTTGGCCACGCGGTCATTGAATCCCGTGGCAGCCACATAACCCTTCAGTTCCGGACTTTGCATCAGGCTGAAGAAATTGGTGGTCTGAATATCCGGATTGGGACCCTCAATCGAGGTGGTGTTGATGAATCCTGTCAGGGCGGTGGCCTCGTGGTGCAGCAGTTTGCTGTAACGACCCATCAGCAGGTTGTACATGGCATCCACCAACTCCTCCTCGGTGGGTTTGCGGGCAGTGGACTTGTCGATCTGGAAGATCACCGGCAGACTGGCGTGATCCTTCAGATTCTTGCCCACGGGCAGGTCCAGTTTCACGGGAATTCCCAGGCTCTTCAAGTGATCGGCAGGACCGACGCCTTAAAAAGGAATATAAGAATAGAAAATAACGTTGAAAAATGATTTAACCTTTACAAAAATATAATTTTCAAAGGATTACATTTCCAATCAGTACATAAAATCAAGTTTGGAAGCTAACCCATCTTAACTTTTTTAAGTTTAAAATTTTAGAAACATTTTGAAATGGTAGTTTCTAAGATTAAATTTATATTTAAACTTCAGAATGCCCCTAATATCTTAATATCATCAAAACCAACGTGTGCATTCTACTGCGTATTTTTATAGAGTCTTTGTTATACATAGGAACCTGTTCTAGGATAAGTAAAAGAACCTGTTCAATTTTTAATTAAAATTCATGTGAAATTTTATGGAAATTTAACTAGTTCTTAACTTTTGAATTAGATTTACTTTAAATATTCCACTCGGGCAATTTCTTTAATACTTTTACTTTTTATCTTTGCAGGTATGTGAATCCCATTAAATGTGAAAAATGCCAAGTAACGACACTTGAAGCCAAATATATTGTGAAATCTAAAAGTAATCAGCTGGTAAAAATATTGTACCCCTTACTTATAGGGGAAGTACCGGAGCAAATAACGCCCTATCGTAAAAGATTTTTGTTATATCTCGGTAGAACGTTATTTTCCATACATATGTTTACAATCCCTGCCGATCGGCCAGGTATAATCGCCTGACCTTGTTCGACCTTGCGCGTGTTTTGACATTGACATCTCATCGACACGGTTGCTTGGGTCTGATATCGTATTCCGGCTATCTAATCATCCACCAATCCGCGCTTATCAAAAGTCTTTTTAGATGCAACCAGCAAAACAGAAGCTAATCCAACAACAAAGTAAATCCCAAGAGCAAACGGAAGATTTAGGGGCTTTATAGAGGGATTGAAGGATCATGGTATATCTTTATAAACTAATGCACTGAGAAAACTTCTTATCGTAATTTGTTATCATACTTAGTGTTATCAATTGCATATTGAAAAGGTACCTCGAATGTTTATAAGGAAAACTTAATTATGTGAGATAAGAAAAGATATTTTGAATGTTATCGAAAGTTAGGGTTTTAAGATGGTACTTTGAATATGATGATCATATTTAATCTTTGCTATAAAGAATTTTAGAAAATTCTTTTGCTTTTTTATAGTGGTTACCTTATATTTTGGTCATTTGATATTTAAAAATGATCTCAGGTCTAAACTTAGTAGCTCTTTGACTTGAAGACTCACCTGAGAGCAGCAGGATCTGGGGGGAGCCAATGGCTCCGGCGGACACGATGACCTCCTTGCTGGCCCGCACGGTGTATTCCTTCTTGCCGCGATGCACAAAGGTCACACTCTCCGCCCGATTGTGGCGATCCAGGTTAATCTTCTTGACGTGGGCGTGGCGCAGGATGTGCAGATTGGGTGTATTCTTATGCAGATGAGATCGGGCGGTGGTGATGCGGTGTCCTCCATCCTGGGTGCCCAGGATGTCCATTTGGCCTACGAAAGAGCCCTCTGTGAAATCCGGGGCACTGCCGTAGCCCATTTCCTGCATGCCGGCGCGAATCGTCGAGCGGAACTCGTTGTCGGATACGTAATTATTGATTATCATGGGTCCACCAACGCCATGATCTCCAGGCGTATAGCCTGGACGAGTGGAACGTAGATCCTCGGCCTTGCGGAAGTGCTTCAGCACCTCGTCATAGCCCCATCCCGGATTGCCCCTGGCCTCCCAGTCGTCGAAGTCCTTGCGCGTGCCACGGGCATAGATCATGGCATTCATTCCGTTCGTGCCGCCCAACATCTTGCCCCTCGGCCAGTGGCAGCTCTCGCCCTCCATCGCCATGCAGGCCCGTCCATTAGGTTTCGAATGGTACTGCCAATCCCAGTCGGAGAACTGGGTGGCCATGTGCCAGGCCACGAATTCCGTCTCAATCGGCGGATCGCCGCCAGCCTCCAGGAGCAGGACCTTCCACTTCGATACCTCGGCCAGGCGACCGGCCACCACAGCTCCCGAACTTCCCGATCCAATCACTATGAAGTCGTAGTCGTGCTTGAAGCCACCAGCCTGCTCCAGCCAATCTCCCTTGTCCTCCGGCCACTGCTGCTGACCACTTAGGTCGCAGAACTTGGTGATCAGTGTGGAAAGGAGCAGGGACATCAGGGTATTAGCCGGTCCCGCCGAACGGGCAGCGCACTGGGCGCTCAGGAACTCCATCTTGGGGTCGCAACAAGTCCTTACGTTGTGCTGGAAGTAACATTTTTATTATTATAAAACAAATTTTAAGAAGTAAGGACGAAATAGGACAGAGGAATAGCTCGCGAAATCCTTAGAATGATCCATATTCAATTAGGAACTGTCTTTTGTTGGTAACTTTTTTAACAATTTTCTTATTATAAAACAAATTTTAAAAAGTTAGAATGGAATACAGAAGAAAATCTTTCGAAATCCTTAGAATGATCCGTATTAAGTTAGAAACTTTTTTTTATAGCTTTTTTATAATATCTATCGTCAGAAAAGTCTTAGAAAATCATATCCTCCAGTTTTTGTCATTACATTTTTGGAAGAACCATTCTTTTAATCTTGTTTTAGTTGCGTTTAAAAATGTTGTCCTTGGTACTTCTTGAATAATCTAGAAAATTATCAGCAAGATATTTTAGAGATTGTTATGAAATATTCGAAGAAACTTTATGGCGTTAGAAAATTTTCCGACGAAACCAGTAATACTCAAGATATCCTTATGCTTGATTCGTAAAAAAAATTGAAAAACAGCAAACAAAAATCGTACAACTTATTCTTATTTCTTCTCAACAAATAGAGAAAATTCCATAAGGTTTATTCAAAGAAATGATCGAGTTATCCTTCGACTTTCGTTTCAAAAGTGTTTTAACATTTTCTAGTTGTTCTATTTTTTGAAAGTTTGTCCTTCGCGCAAGTTGATATTTAACACTAATGTTCGATAAAAACCTTTAGGCAAGTAATAAGTTATCTTTAGGAAACCTTTAAGTAACTTGTGTGATATCCTGTACTGTTAGGATCAGGAAATTCTCAAGATACACTGTAGTTAGTAATCCTCGACTACTCTCAAGTTTTCACAATGTTACCTACAAGTTGGGCACAGGAAATCCTCTGGAAGCCCACAGGCTATCCTCAGCAAGTCCTGAGGTTATCCTCCGTTAATCCTTGACTCCGAAAATCCGTAATCCGCAATCCACAATCCACCTGCCGCACACGTTCGCTCGGACTCTCTGCTCGACGGCAACTGTTCTACCGGCCCGGCATTCAGCCGGAATTTGTACGGCCGGGTGGCGAACGCTTTTCGTATGCCATCGGCGTCCGTAAATCAAAAGCGCTCGGAGACATTTGCATTTAGCTTCGAGTCGTATGTATTTAGCCGAACCTATATACCATCAACACCATATACACATAAATTAGACGCACCTTCCGCCTTCAGCAGCTGCGCGGCACTCCCCTTATCACTCGAAGATTAGCCAAGCGAGGTGTGATAAACCCGGGCAACCCATAGAGCCCACCCAAAATACAGAATCGAGAGTAGAGAATGGAGAATCTAGAATCTAGAGTGTAGAATGTAGAGTCTCCCGCGGTTTGCACTCGCTTATCTTTATGCTTGTTTGGTGGATCGATGGTGGTCGTGTTTTTGGGTGTTTTGGGGGCCCCAGCTGATAAGCACAGGCTAATTTTGTTGAGGTATCGCCTATGCTTCAGACGAAACCAGTTCTGTGGGTTTGTGGGTCAAGTTTGTGTGGAGATATGCTAAACATCTTAATTTTGGCAAACGAATAGGAATCAAATTTTTATGGATTTGCAAAAAAAAACCAAATCCTCATTAGAACCAATATTCTGTGTTCTAATTTTTTGTCGAGGCTTTAAAGGTTTAAAATGGTATGGTCCCTACAGAAACCCATATATTTCCAAACCTTTTGTTAATATCTACCGATTCAGCTTTAATATTCCAAGCTTAAAACTTGTCCCACAAAAATAATATACCAAAATTTAACAATCATAATGGTTTTCAATATTTTATTTTATAAAAAAACCTCATACATTAAAAAATTTGCTTAAGTTGTGTTACCTAGTAACTAATATTTAACAAGTGTGGCTTATGAATAACAAAAAAAAAATAGAATGCATAACTATGTACATTGTACAATTATAATATCTGCTTAACAGTTTTGGAAATAGGTAGAACCTTTATAAAGCGAAGTGAAAGGTGCCACAGTTCACATAGTTTAATTTACCTAATTGTGTTGTCCGTGAATCGATTTCCACTTAATGTACTGCAGTTTGATATCGACAACTTGTTGACAACTTGCCAGTTGATGATTCCCTGTTCGGAATCATCAAACTAGAAGTCATCCGCATGCATGTGCGGCACCCATTTACCCCCATTGGCGCCAGTCACACTGCCCAGGTTATCCTCTCGGATGAAGTGGGCAACCCTTTCTCCGATCATCACAGTGGCCGCATTGGTGTTGGCACTCACAACGGCTGGCATAATGCTGGCATCGGCCACCCTGAGGTTTTCTGTTCCATGGACCCTCAGACGGGGACTCACACAGGCCTCGGGATCGGAGGAGGGACCCATTTTCACGGTTCCCGACTGATGGTAACAGGTGATGGTGAAGTACCGGGCATAGCATCGCCAGTATTCCTCACTGCGGTAGTTCCCCAGTTGGTCACACTCCGCAATGGGAATCCTGGCCATCTCAGCCCGGTGATCCCGCAGTGATTTGGTCTGCTCTAGGGATTCAATGTAGCGAATTCCCCTCATCAAGGTGGCCACATCCTCTGGTTCCGTTAAGTAGTTACTGGTTAGGATGGGTGGATCCTTGGGATCTGTGCTCTTCAGGTGCAATTCACCCCTGGCCATAGGATGGGAGAGTAGAACAAAGACACAAAGTAGATGGGAGTCCCTGAGGTAACCTTGCAGCGTCTCTATATATGAGTCCTGGATGTACAAACCCTTGGTGAAAAGTTCTAAGGAGGCATGGTTTCCCCTCTGGAAGAATAGGTGATGATTCTCCGTATCTGGATACACACTGTTACTACTCTTATTTGTGTTAATAAAAGACACCAAGGAGGCTGTGCTGTGGGTGGCCAAGGGTCCCCGGCGATGGATGAGGTACTGATAGATCCCATCGAGCATGTCCTTCTCGGTGATGACCTCAGCCTGACCTTCGTCCAGTCTCAGAAAGAGGGGGACAATTACATGATCCTGAAGATTGCGTCCAACTCCTGGAAGATCTATCTGTACGGGTATATTCAAATCCTCCAATTGCTGCCTAGGACCAATACCGGAACGCAAGAGAAGAGCTGGCGAATCGATAGCGCCTGCAGAGAGTACGACTTCCTTGGTGACCTTCACTTGGTGGCTAACACCAGCCCTTTCGAAACTAACCGAGGTTACCACTTTCCCATCAAAATTCAACTTGGTGACCGTGGCCTTCTTGACCACATGCAGATTGGGTCTAGTTTTGGACACTGCACCCAAGTAACCCTTGCCTGTGCTCATCCTTTGACCTTGTCTCACGGTTCCAGGTACATGGGCATAGCCCGTTTCACTGCCCTCCTCGAATCTCTTAACATAAGGAACTCCCAACTCCTGAGCTCCGTCGATAATAAGTTGGTGTATCGGGTCATCCTGTCGCTCGAAGGGACTCAGGGTCACATAACCCTTGGGATGGGTGGCATTTCCCTGCGGGGTCACAGAGTGTTCGAAAAAGGGCAGAACCTCATCGTAACTCCAGCCCTTGTTTCCCATCGCCGACCAGCCATCAAAGTCCTTGCGATTTCCCCGCACATACAGCATGGCATTAGCTGCTCCAGATCCACCCAACATCCTGCCTCGCGGCCAATAGCAGCGACCATCTTTCATTCCCTGACAGGACTTGTCGCTGGGTTCTGTGAAATAGTTCCAGGTAAACTCCGAGTGCTGTAGGCCAAAAAATAAAGCTGGTAACTGCAAGGTTAAGAAAACGAAATAGATTAGTTTATTAGTGTAATATTATTGTGAAATTTGAAAGATATCTATCTAAAAAATTCACTTTACAGCACGACTTTTTCCACCAAATTACTTTCAATTGGGAATAGTTGGTCTAGTTAGTCTAAGTATGCATCTAAAATATAATAGGGAGTTCTGGTAAAAATTTTAATACTGTAGCCTTACTGTTTTGGAATCTGCAGTGATTCTTGGGTTTCTAGCGACAGTTTTATATACCATATATAGTATCAGTTTCTATCTCATATGTATTTACTATTATCGCATAGACTGGAAACGTGTGTAGTACTTCAGTATCTCATCGTTTTGTTAATAAGTTGTTAAACTGTTAACTTGAAAAGCTTTAAGCGAACAACAAAATTTTTATTTGTTTAGATAGTACTTTTTACGTAAGAACAGTCTTATCTACAAGTTTAGAAATCAGTTAATGATCTCATGGTATTTGCCAATAACAATATTCCTCTAGTGGGTGTCATAATTGTACTCAAAATATGGACTCACCTCGGATTCGACGGGTGGATCTCCGCCTGCCTCCAGGACGAGAACTTTCCACTCGGGATTCTCGCTGAGTCGGCTGGCCACCACGGATCCCGCGGATCCTGCTCCAATGACCACAAAGTCATAGGGTTTACTCAAGTCACCTCCGTAGTCCGCTGGCCATTGGCTGGCTGGTGAAATTAGGCACTGGGCTGATAGAAGAGATTGCAGAAGAACGGTCACCATTCCACTAAATAATCCGATGGCATGTGGAGAAACAGCGGCTCCACATTGATTTTGGCCAATGGCCAGTGTCTCAATGGTGAGATTCTGGAAGCCGGCTTGCGACATGGTGTTTGGCACTCGATTGGACCCGGTTCTATCTGCATCTGAGGCGCAGTCGCTTCTGGAGATTCGCTTTTATAGTCAGTCGCCTGATAAGCGGGTACAGTGCATCCTCCCCCTGCGCAACCAGCCAACCGCCGAGGTCGTTGACTCAGTCAGCGGAGAAGCGCGTGTGAATGTGTCACAAATGCACAAAGAACAAAAATTCAATAAAAGGTGATCGACTAAACTTTTCATTAAACAGACAAAAGGTATACTTTATGGGTATAAGAATAAGAAAATTCATTATTGACAAACATAATTCACTTACAATAAAATATTCATGCTTGTTTATAGATCATCCTGGTAATTTATTAAATATTGATATTATTGATATTAATTTAAATTAAATGATATTTTGGTCTTATACCGTTAAATCATATAATGTAAAATTAATTTAATGAGTAATTTCAAAAAAAGAGTCTCCTTTCTTCATTTTTTTAGATTTATGTATTTTTTTCTTTGCGTGTATTGGCATCATCATCAAGCAAAATCGCAATCGAAATCAGATCGACTGGTGGATCCAGTTCTGAAAGAGAGGAAGGCTCTACTTCATCTCAGCTGCAAGCTCCGTTGAACTACATTCTTACAATTACTTCATATTGTTCCCGATTACTATCGCGTTCAGGATGAAATAAATATAAATTTTTCATTTATTATGGTTGCGACATGCTTTGACAATCAATTTGTCATTAATTTTCAAATAAATAATAATAATAATTTTAATAGCTAAGACGTTTCTTTAATAATTTTTAAACAATTTGATGTAAAAAACGATTTTACAAACGAATCGATAATTATCGATAATAATCAAAGATATTTTTGGTGTTCATTTTTGTCAGGGCTAAAAAGTAATGCCACAAGCATGAATTTTCAAAATTTTAAAAGTCAAATTCATTAAAACGTCTAAAATTGTTTTTCTTTTACTCTACGAGTAACGGGTATAAAGAGAGAAATATAGAACTGAGAGTTCCCCGATAACAGATCCAGATAGCGAAAATAGCTTTTGAGGCTGAGTCCCCCAGATTGAACATTTTTATAGCTCCAAAAAGTCATAACCAGATAAAACAAGTATCATAAAGTCATTTATAGCACTTAGCTCAACACAAACACACATAAAGACAACAAACAAAAACAAAACACGCTTACCTACAAGCAAAAAAAAAATAAAACGCCAAAAAAAATCGCTTAACAAAGTAATTAAAAGTGGTGCTTAAAAAGGCGCTTAAAAATTAGAGACAATTATTTTTGGGGTGGGCAAGAATCCAGGTTAGCGCCACCTGGCGGTCAGAGCCCGCTGTTCATGGCCGTGCGAATAAATTGAACGGGGGCAGGGGGCACGGCATTCGCAGCTGCCGCAATCAGACTGCCAACAGGCGCCAAGTTTAAACCAGCACTCAGATCTGTAAGGAAAAATTGGAGATCATTAAAGTTTCTATGTATCTTCGAAATATATTATAAATTTAAAAAAATCTAAATGACTCAAATAGTTTATTTTATTAAAAGATTTAAGAAAATTCCGTTTCCTTGCTTTAAAAAATATGGTTAAAACTGAGTATTTCTTAGGGTACCTAAATATTTTCAAAATATATTACATTTCAAACAATTTTAAAATGACTGAAATAGTTTATTGTATTAAAAGATCTAAGAAAAATCCTCTTATTTGCTTTAAAAAAATGTATAAAACTGAGTTTATCTTAGAAGGATCAACAAACCACTTTTTTTTTCTAAATTTTAATCAGTTAAAGTTTTTCTGAGAAGCTTAACATCAGTTAAACATATAAAAATAATTATTTTATATGTTTTAAAGGACTTTAAAGGACTTCTTCTGACACCTTAATCGCTTATTATTACAAAATTTTGATATATCCCCATATGATTGAGTGTTTCAAATGGTATGACATGTTATTATATTATTAACACCTACCCGAAGGATCGTTAATGGGTATTTGATCAACAGCATTTCCGGTTCCGGTAACTACTCCTGTCCCTGTTCCGGAACCCGTGCCCGTTATCAAATCCTCGGCCAGCAGGAACTGCTGCGGACGGGCCAGGCTGAGGCCCAGGAGTAGCATCGCCATCAGAATCCATTTGAGGGGCAGCTCCGGGAGCGTCATCTTGCGATCAGTGGCGGACGTGGACTGACCCGCTCGCTGGCCGCGCACTCGCATGAAAAGTCTCGAAAACCTTTTCCGATTCGCGGCCCAAAGCAAAGCCATGGCCCACTGAGGCACCCAAACTGGTAAAACTCGTAAGCTTCGCGCTGCCATTTGCCATTTAAGTTCAGTGGCCGCTCATAAATTACGGGCAGAAAACGATTGAGAACAATGCCTCCATATGATTGATAAAACTCGGAGATACTCCTTAGTTCTGTGGTACATTTTATCCATATCAACCTATACATAAAATACTTATCACACTTCTACACTTAAAATGGAAGATATTTTTATTGTTACTAATATAGCAAAAAGACGACGAAATGATACGATATTATTTTCCATTTTATAATCCATAGGTAACATATGTATTTGCAAACAGTCCCCAAGTCTAATATACTTTTATATTATACCGAATACAATACAATCACAAATAATCACTACAATATTGCAAAAGTTCAGAGCGCTGGGAAATGTTATTTCAAGTGATCGCAGTTGTAAACAGAAAAAAGCATAAATGAAAAATTAAATGAATTGAATTGAAAATGGGAAACTAACTGCACCAAGAGTCAAATGAATGCCAAGATCATTACCAAAGCAAATTAGCTGACCTGGGGAATGCCAACAATGGATGGTTCTCCATTATATGGTTGGTTTCCAATTGATATATGGATTGCTAATCACAGTGGCTGACTTCGTTGACTCCCAGGCAAATATCCAATGCCATATGTGTCCCATTATAAAGGCATGCATTTAATTTACTATTACCACTCGAAGGGCTTATCTAGGTTGTAAGATTGTTTTCTTTTCATTTCCATAAATATCTTCCCACGAAATGTTTATTTATAAAGGTTCTATCTTATTGCGTGATATAGTGAATTAAAGAAATTTGAAATTCCACTGTGATTGTATTTGGAAAACTTTATAAAAAAGATATGATATTATAGTACCTAACTCCAACCGCCATCTCTGTAGTGCTGCCAATCCTCCTTGATTATATCCGCCCCTCTTTCTGCGACCATAAAAGTGGGAGCATTGGTATTTCCCGTGGGAATAGTGGGCATAATGCTGGCATCGATGACCCGCAGACCCCGCATTCCCCGAACCCTTAACCGGGGATCCACCACTCCGCCGGGATCCGAAGTGGGTGCCATTTTGCAGGTGCCCACTGGATGGTAGATCGTCTGGGAGTAGAATCTAGCCAGGCATTCCCAGAAGGCATCGCTCAGGTACTCCACCTCGGGACAATTGCGCCACTCGTAGATGTTCATGGTGGCGTTCAGGGATTGCATCACCGGCGTCTGGGTTAGGCGATGGGCCATCTTCAGGCCCTCCACCATCACGGCCATGTCGAGGGGATCGTCATAGTAGTTGGCATGGATCAGCGGATGGATCTTGGGATCCGCCGAGCGTAACTGTAGAAATCCCCTGGAGCGTGGACGCATCAGCAATGGAGCTATCACAAAGGAATCCTGATAGAGCACCGGTTCAAAGGTCTCGGCATAGTTATCCAATGTGATGGCAGCTCCTCGGCGACCAATCATTCCACCATCGGCTCCATAGCCATAGCTGCCCATAAAAAGCTGGACATCTGGCCAATCCAAACGGGGATCCTGATAGCGAGTACTAAAGAAGCCCATCACCTCACTCACGGGCATGGCGTAGAAGAAGCTATCGGCTCCATGGACAAAGTCCTCCACCGCCTGCTCATTCATCATCTCAGGGACAATGAACGACAGGTGTCGGTTTTGACCACTGTCAAAAGTGTAGATGGCTCCCGAGGTGGATACGTGATCCTGTAGGTTGCCACCCACTCCGGGCAGATGCTGCAGCACCGGAATGCCCAGTGGCTCCAGTTGCTCCCTGGGACCGACGCCACTGACCATCAGAAGTTGCGGACTAGCCAGCGAACCTGCGGATAGGATAACCTCCCTTGTGGCACTGACCGTATGCTTGAGAAGACCGTATTCGAAGAGCACTCCCACGGCTCGATGGGATTGAGGATCGATCAGGATGCGCTCCACGAAGGCCTTCAGGACTATATCCAAGTTGGGACGCTGCCAACTTCGTCGAAGGTAACCCTTGTTGGCACTGCAACGCAGTCCATTCCTCAAAGTTCCATGGGGTGGGGCAAATCCCGTCTGAGAACGACCATTAAAGTCCGCATCCGGGTTGACCATGCCCATCTGCTGGGCGGCCGTCATGAAAACATTCAAAAGCGGCGAGGGAAACCTAGGAAAATGGGCTTACTAAATATATTACTATAGTAATATGTTTTCCGAACCCACCTATATCTTTCCACGGAGATGGGACCACCGTGACCATGATAGGGATTGTGTTCGAAGCCAGGAACCCGCATGTCTTCTGCCTTGCGGAAATAGTGCAGAATGTTATCATAATTCCAACCAGGATTTCCCAGTTCCGACCAGTGATCATAGTCCCGCCTATTTCCGCGTATATACATCATGGCATTAATGGAACTGCAGCCCCCAAGGACCTTGGCCCTGGGCCAAAAGCAACGCTTATCCTCCATGGCCAAGCAGTATCGATCCGAGGGTTCCGTGGAGTACTTCCAATCCCAAGGGCTGCGCTGGAATACCGGATATAACTGCGGCAAATCCATAAGCAGGGGCTCATCCCCGCCAGCCTCCAAAAGCAAAACACTCCATTCCGGATTCTCCGAGAGTCTTGAGGCCAAAACACAACCCGCCGTACCACCGCCAATTACTATGAAATCGTAGGAACTCCGTAGATCTCCTATATTTATCGAGCGAACGCGATGCGGTTCGTCCACAATATCTGGTCTCTTATCGATGATTCCCTTGTTCAGGAGCAGGATGACCATGGCCGAGGGGCCAAGGGTCAGCAGGAACCGCCACATGGCCACAAACGTGTTGATCACCGACATTGTGAAAATACAACTGACTGGCTTCCGATGTTCTGGGAACTATCTTACAATACTTCAATCCAAATTGCTGATCCAGCTGAAGTCGAATTCGCTGACCCAGAAAAGCTACGGTTTCTGTGAGTGCATTGACCAATATGCCAAACATTACCTTCTGCAATCCCAGCTGCTTTAAAAGCTAACACTGGGCTACAAAACTTATATATTATATATGTCAACCATTCAAAACTTATGATCATTTATTGTTAATAAGAACAAAGCATTATAAAGCCCAAGCGGGTAAACCAAAAGATAGCTTTGTTTTATAAAAATATAGGTATTTGTTTTTAATTTGGAGTTAACTGCCTAGGCTTTGTTACTTTACGTCTTTAAAAATGCTACAATAACGATTAGATAAAGCCTTATAATCATCAGAATACTTAAATATACATTATTTTGTATCTGGCCATATGTATAAAGCATGCTTGAAGTTATTATACAAATAAAACCATAAACGAATGGACTGATCAAAACAAAACCAAAAATTTCAAAAAATGAAAACAAAATTCGGAGAAATTCGATAAGCTTGTCAGATCGAACAGTCAACAAAAAAATTACTCAAAAAATGCATGTTCATATGCAATTTTTTTGTTTAATTATGAATTTACAATTGGTTTAAATGCTGTCTAGACATTAAACATTACTTTCTTTATAAATAATGAAAAAATCGTGGCATATTCGGATAGCAAACTCACGATGCTTACAAAGCTAAGTAATCTAAATCTGAAATCCTAACTCTCTAGCTCTTAAAGTTTCCGAAATCAATGCTCCTGATCAATAATATATATACTTTATGGGGTCAGAAACGCTTATTTCTACTTGTTGCATACTTTTCTCCAAATACTACGTACCCTTTTACTCTAAGGGTAAAGGGTATACAAACTATAGTATATTTAAAGATTTTCTAAATATAGTATAGTGATATATAGTATAAGTAGAGCAAAGAAAAAGTTTTTTTGGTTTATTAGAATCAGATAAAGATATCACATTTGGAAGTCGGGTTCTTAAAAATCTGATTTAGATTTGTTATGGGATCAGCATTCCTGGACCACTTCATTGTCCACCTCCCGATCCTCAAGAATGAGTTGCGCTCCCTTCTCCCCTATCATCATGGCAGGTCCATTGGTATTACCCGCTGGTAACTCCGGCATAATGCTGGCATCCACCACCCGAAGGCCCTTGACACCATGAACCCTCAACCGTTCGTCCACTACGCCTCCCTCCTCCTGGGAATCCGCTTCCTTCTTTGGAGCCATGCGACAGGTGCCCACGGAATGCCAGGCCCCAACATAGAAGTATCGAATATAGCACAGCCAGTATTCATCGGAATCGGTAGATAATACATCGCATTCGTCGAGAGGTGGCAACCAAAGACGTAACCCACATCGACGGAAAGATCTGGTTTTGCTCAACTTTTGAATGTATCTCACATAACGAAGTAGTGTCTGCTGATCCTCCACAGCCTCGCCATAATGATTTTCGATTTTTGCCTGATCGGAGGACTTTTTGCTCATCAGACTCACCCTTCCCCGTGATAAAGGTCTCATTAAGGATCCCATTATTTGCAGAAGATCCCATTTTTGTAAGATATCTTTCTGAGCCTGAACCAACTCTGGCCGAAAGCCCAAGTAACCAAAGCTCCCAGTACTTCCCTTTGGCAAAAGTGTGTGGGCCACTACATGGAGATCGGGTTGACCATGACTGGAACTCGGTGCACTGGAGTTGATGTAGCCCATCATGTAGAAACCACTGGCCAAAGGACCCCTTTGATTTTCCAGCAGATACTTTGTTACAGAAACGGGAGCATAGGGATTATCCGTAGGATCCCGAGTACTATTGACGGCACAATTGGAACCAAAGAGCAGGTACAATGGCAGCATTCCATGATCTTGTAGATTTCGACCCACTGGCAGATCCTGATAGGTGGGTATATCCCAATTTTGAAGCTCTTTCCGGGGACCAATGCCCGAGAGCAAGAGCAACTTGGCGGAATTTAGGGTTCCAGCACTTAGGATCACTTCCCCTGAGGTTTTCGCCGTGTGTTCCACACCATTTAGGGTGTATATCACTCCAGTGGCCTGGTTTCCCTCTGGATTTAATAGAACTTTCTGAACTTGGGCTCCTCGTATTACCTTCAGATTCGGTCTTCTGTTCACTTGATCATTGGCCAAATACAGGCGAGCACTGCTGGCTCTTCGTCCTTGGTTTACGGTCACAGGAACATGATGGGTGTAACCAAAGGTGGAACCCGCTATTAGGGGCTGTTTCATCCGGGGAACACCCAACTCGGATGAGCCGGAGTATATTAGGTTTGCCAACTTCATGTTGATACTGCTCGCTTGAAGGTAGGAGAGATTGAGGCGTCGTTGCAGGCGGCTATAGGTTCTCTGGACCTGTGGCCAATCCCAGCCAGATGCATTCCATTGCCTAAAGCTCTCCCTGCTGCCGGGTATATAGATATTCCCATTGATGGCTCCTCCTCCGCCCATCATCCGTCCATGCCACCAGACGCAGCCATGATTGGCGGCCATGGCCTGACAGCACTTCGGATTGGGAACAGCTTCCTCCAGGAACATGTATCGCTCGTCCTGATGCAGTGCAGCACTGAGGCTAAAGATCTCTGACTCCAGCGGTGGCAATTGGCCCTCCTCCATTAGGAGGACCTTCACCCGGCACTGCTCACTCAGGCGACTGGCTACTATGGAGCCAGCACTTCCAGCTCCCACTACTATGTAGTCATAGCTCTCGATCTCCCACTGATCCTCCAGTGGCTCGTGCTGCAGTGGCCAGGCGGTGTTGTTGGCCAGGGCGAGGCTGGAAGCATTCAAAGCCATGGCCACCGATTGCATCAGAGAAATGCCCAGGCCACTGCTGTCCACCGAAAACAATTGGGCCACCGAGGATCCACTTGCTCCAAAAATCAGGAGCAGGAAAAGTCCGTCATGGAGCAGGGTTCCCGTCTCCGATGTGCGCGGTTTGTGTACGCGCTGACCGCCCATCTTCAAGCGACTAAAAACCCTAATGAAATTGCCGATCCGGGCGGTACGAGTTTTTAGCCACAATTAAAAGAATGTCGCGCACGATAACCATATCAACGAAAATATACATTTACTCTGCCCGCTTTTATTTAATATTTCGGGCTGCTTTCTGTTTGCCAGCCATAAAAACCCGAAAGCAAACATTTAAAATTTCAAGTCCATATATATTTATAGCCCTGTGCTTGGGGGCCCCGGCCAACAGGTGGCGCATTAAAGAAACTTGACTAGTTAAGAGTTGTAATATGAGAAAGCACAGCTGTTCAATTGAGTAAAAAATACGTCTTAATTACCTCAACAAATATTATATTGTCAGGGCTGTATAAAGAAAAAGCCCCAAGACTCTTACAATAAAGACCTTTTGCAATAGCAGATTGATAAAATCCCCTTTTAAAAAAGGGGGTAGAAATTTTGTTGTTTTTTTTGGTATCAGCTTACAGATTATCGATATCATTAACTTATCTACAATGTTCCAGTTACTAAACTGTGCCTTTATCGATAGCGGCAATACTTAAAAGACTGAAATGGAAATTCACACCATAAGACCCAATTCCCTGACCAATTTAACAGAAACCATTGATTGGCTCTATTTTCATAGTTTATTGCGTTCACATAAAATTAAAATAAATACAAGGGGGTGCTTATAAGATACTTCAAAAAAAATGTGGGACGATAAGAGTTCAATATAATTAATTTTTGATGGGTTAAACAGCTTGTCGGGCAGCTCTATTCCTAAGACATTTACACAACTCGAGGACACCTAGTTAAAGCATTCACAGACATTCACACTCAGTCCAGACATTTAAACACTCACGATAGTCAGACATATTCTCAGACATTCATTGGATAAAGCCATGTTTTTACGAACTGATTTCTCAATTGTAAAACTTTATACCTAGAAAAAAGTTCACAGAACTCTCAAGAGATTTAAAAAGCTTAAGTTGTTAGGAACATTAACTGCAGTTTGAAATATTATAGACATTTCTGAGAACTTTTTCGTTGCAAGATATAAAGTAGGACAACTCAAATAAAATATAACCTGTTCTACTTAAACCAAGCAAAGTTATGCTCCAAGTTTGGTTCTTCAATCAGTTAAGAAATCAGCTCGTAAAGTACAAAGACTTCATCACTCTACGCAGAAAGATTCGCTCAGACGATGGTGTTCTTGATCCAGAACTCCTTGATCATGTCGCTGCCCTTTTCGGCGATCATGATCACGGGGGCATTCGTGTTGGCGGACACCAACTTGGGCATAATACTGGCATCGATGACGCGCAGTCCTCGGATCCCGTAGACCCTCAGTTTGGCGTCCACCACCGCGTCTTTGTCCCAGTAGGGACCCATCTTGCAGGTGCCTACGGGATGGTAGATGGTGGACGTATACCTTCTGACCATGCACTCCCAGAAGGCATCCGTGAAGAGGGGAACTTGTTCGCATCCTGGCCATCGGATGCTGGAGATTCTGGACCCGAATCGCTGCATAGCTTTCGTTCGAGACAAAGCCACCGCTATCTTAACGCCCTCGATGAGGGTCTTCATGTCGAAGTCATCCGTAAGATAGTTCGGAAAGATATATGGGTAATCGAAGGGATTACCACTGCGCAGGCGTATATTTCCCACGCTGCGTGGTCTTAGCAACATGGGTATTATGCTCCAGGCATCTCGATTGTTAATGGGTTCGAAGACCGCCCGGTAGAAGGCCTCTGTTAAACCATGAGCCTTCCGCAGTTGTGAACCCCCATCGGAGTTCGTTGATCCCGAGACGAAATGGAACTCAATATCCGGCCAATCCAAGGAGCTATTCGCATACTTGGTGTTTACATAGGCCAATCCCTCCACTCCGCCCAGGATGGTCAGAGGTCCTTGGCCAAAGACAGCGTACTGCAGAACAGTTGACATGGTGTGGAAGCGATTCTCCACTATGGACACGGGTTGGTTAACCAGAAAGGTTAGACCACCCAGTCCAATGTGATCCTGCAGGTTTTCGCCCACACTCAGTTCCTTGATCAGCGGTATCCTATGTTTGGCCAACTCCTTTCGCGGACCCACACCACTCAGCATCAGTAACTGCGGACTATTGACAGATCCACCGGATAGAACCACCTCCTTGGTGGCCCGCACATGGTAAAGTTTTTGATCCTTGACAAACTCCACTCCAAAAGCAAGTTTTGTCACCGGATCGATCATAATACGAGTGACATGTGAGTTCATGGAGATGTGCAGATTGTTACGTAATCTGGCGGGTCTTAGGAAAGCCTTTGAAGTGGAGCACCGCGATCCACGCCGTGTGGTTCCCTGGGCAATCATGAAGCCCGTCATCTTCTCTCCATTCAGATCCCGATTTTCGTAGCCCATCTCCACGCCCGCCTCCACAAAACTGGCCGCCAAAGGAGTATGATATGGTGCCTCTCCCACTGTCAGATAACCGCCGGTTGCGTGATAAGGTGTATTGGCCAGATATTGGTTGGTATTATCCTCCGACTTCTTGAAATAGTACAAGGCATCGCGATAAGACCAACTGGGATTGCCCATGGCCTCCCAGTTATCGTAGTCGTGCTTGGATCCTCGAAGGTAAAGCATGTAGTTGAGGACTGAAGATCCACCGAGCACTTTGCCCCTGGGCCAGTTGCAACGACCTCCTTGCATGGCTGGAACAAAAGGTATAGGGAGTTTTAGTTATAAAGATTCTTGTATAGGTGAAGTTACTATTCCAAATATGCCTAAAAAGCTCTGATCTTTAGCAATCATTTACAAAATATCATTTTAAAATGGGTGAGTTTGGCTTGGATAGCTTATAAATCTGTTAAAAGTGCAAGAACTATATTTTGTAAATGATTACTAACAATCAGAGGTTTTTATAAAAGATTTTTACATTTTAGAAAGATATACTCCAAGTTGTAGCCCGTTCCAAGGAATCACCATTACTCACCCAAACACGAAGTGCCCGATGGTTCCGTCTTGTACTGCCAGTCGATCTTGGAGAGCTGCAGATAGCCCGCCATCAGGGGTACGTCCGTGAGTTCCGTTTCATCGCCGCCGGCCTCCAGGAGGAGTACGTTCCAGTTCTCCACCTCCGTCAGTCGGTTCGCCACCACCGCCCCCGCCGAACCGGCTCCTATGACTATGAAGTCATAGTGGTCGAGGATGTCATCACCACCCACATCACTCGGCTTGGACTCCGGATCGATGATCTCCTCGTACTGGAAATAGGCCACCGCGGCCATCAGCATGGGGATGAACCAGCTGTTGCTGGTGGCCGCCGTGACCGCTCCTCCAATGGCCGAGGCGGCTCCAACGATCGCCGAGCTCATTTTCTGGGTCGGGATCGAATGGGGTGGTGTCTGCTATTTGGGCCTTATTTATAAGGTTTATATATAAATATAGGTCGCTGATCGCTCGACCAATTTTAGATGGAACGTGGCTGCAATGATAATCAAATTTTTTGGTTACTTGTTTGTAGGGAAAAGAAGTGACTTTCAGGGAATATAGAGAAAGACAGAGAGAAGTGGACATGACATGAAAAGTGACATGGGCATTTCGTATGTAATCGGGTTATGGGGTGCGATTTTCATACTCAATATTTCCATCACGATCGTATCGCTTCGATCGCGGCGATTTCGTAACTTGCATTTGTTATGCATACATTTGGCTGCGTCTCCACCTTGGATTCCCTCAACTCTGTGAAGTATTACGACCCAAGATGATCGTGATCGATAAATCTAGGAGCTAATAATTAATGTAAACAGATCATCCTCATTTCTCGTGGCCATAAAATGTTCTCTTGGCCTGCGGTTCAGAGAAATTACTTATGAAAGTAATATAATGGATAGTGGTATAGGTATTTAAAAGCAGATTCACCATTACTTATATTTTTCATTTGATAAGATTCGTTTTGAATAATGTTATTACATTACATTTTCACTTTTAATAAGTAAATCCACTTTCCTTGTAAGCGAGATACATATATTAATGGTTATTCATTTGTCTAAAATTTAGTACCTCCCTAATTAATTTTAATTTGGCTGTCGAACCCGTTTTAAACAATTTTTCCCAACGAATTTGTATCTGCTTTTCATAAATCTTTCGCGTCACGTGCTGTACCCAGTGTTTTGGAATGTAAAATAGGTGTATGTATGGATGGTTTTGGTTTTGGAGAGGTGAAGTGTGATGCGGCATCTTTGGTTGAGGGGCCTCCCGCGTAAAAGTGAAATCTCCCAGTCTATTATAAAACTTTACTGGACAGCCAAAAAAAATAAATAAATAATACTGAAAAAAGCCACAGCTAGCAACTTTTCACTCCCGGTCGAGCGACATGCAACAATTGTGATGCACACTCACATGGTCCCTAACACATTCACTCACACGTACTCCTCTCACTTGCAACCAGTTTGCCTGGAAACAGTGCAACTTCATTATCACGAACCCAGCTAAGTTAACAAAAGGGTTTTTAAACCATACGAAATATTTTAAAATTTTCTTACATTTTATTTGGATTAGCGAATTATTTGTTAGAAAACGGAAACATTGCCTTACATAAAATATTAATATTATTATTATAAAATGTTCCAGAACATTTGGTTCCAAATATAAAACATTAATATTTTATTATTTTATAATAGAAAATAATATTATAAAATATTAATGTTATCATTATAAAATGTTCCAGAACTTTTGGTTCCAAATATGCAACCATTTTTAAAGAAATATGATGAAATATTTAATATATATTTTCAAAAAATGGAATCAATAAGATGAGGAAAAATCTTAGGTTATCATCAGATATTAAATAATTAATTTTTCTATCTATTGATAAACTTGGTTTTCTTAAAAAAAGAGTAACTGTAGTTTTATCTATTGATCTTAACACTGGAAGAAGCTAAGAGAAAAAGAGAAAAACACTTCCTCTTGCCAATCTTTTGCATAATAAAAAGTCTAGTAACCATTCGAGGCTGTTACAGATGTTGTTTTTTTTTAGTCAATGGCAATTACAAAACTTGTTGTTGTTCCTGCTGTTGGTTGTTGTTGTTGCAAACAGGTTGCAAGAGTTGAATGTGCCCACAGATCAAGTTCAAGGTATTAAAAAAAAACATCTACACCGAAAAAAAAACTTAAAGTGCAACATGGAAATGCTCTGCTAATCGTTTGTCAAAGAGAAATGCATAACACTTAAAAAGCGGCATGAATCACTTTCGTTGAGAAAGCTTCTGCGTAGGCGTTGCAGAATTTTGGTGCGTATTCTTTTTCGAAGCCCCGATTCTGCTTGTTTGACTTTGATTTCTTTTTTTTTTAACGATTTTTGCGCTTGGCACACTTTTTTTTGCGCTCTTCTCTCTTTACTCACTTGAGAAACGAAATAACAATTCTCGAATTCCTTAGCGCGATTTGTTTGTTTTTAATTTTGTGCGCACTTTCTTATTTCTCTTTCTTTCGCTTTGCGCATGCGTGCGCGCTTTTCAAGCGATTTGCGTTCAATTCCCTTGTCGGAGCTTCAAAAAACTACCTCACGCTTTGAGGTTCGCTTGGTAACTGAAGAAAGAAATGCCGAAGAAACCGCTAAAGACGGTAGCGCTTCTCCTCCGCTCTCTATCAAACTCCCATGCTCTTTCTTCAACTCTCTTTTCGGCTCTTTGGAGAGCGCAGAATTGGGCCCTTTTGGCCAGCTTGACCGTTAGCTTTGCCCACCGTAAATGGACAATGGGACAATGACAATGACAATTACTTCCTGTATGCCTGGATATACACTTCATGTACTATGTGGTATACCATATGGACTCTTCGACTTTTGGACTTTGTGACGTGTTTGCCGGCACGTAGCCATCACTTATACCATCAAACACTCGGTTCGGCGAAATGCTTTCACTCTTACTATTTGGTCAACTGACCACCCGGGCCAAAAGCTCCTCGATCTTCAGAGGTGCCGGGCTCGCTGACAACACCTTTTGTGGGTCACTGTGCATGTGACGTCACTAGTCGGCCATCGAAGAAGCTTTAACGGGGAGGTAGACTTATAAAACGGTTTTTGTAAGACCTATGAACCTTTATAAAAGGAAAATGTTAACTCATGTTAATTAATTCTTTGCCATTAAAGTTTAAAAAAAAAATTAACAGAATGTTATGTAAAATCTTTAAAAAAGAACTCAAAGGAGACCCAAGATAATTAATAACTAACAACTTATCTTACAGAATGATATTATATAATGATATCATTATTATTGTATAATATTATATGGCGTTGTTTGTGTTTCAATTTGATGATATTTCATATTGTGTAATACAACACAAAAGGCTTAAAAAAGATGGATGAAATAGTTTCTATCTGCAAATGTATCTGAAATAATAATATCCGATCTAGTATTTATCACGTTATTATAATAAATTTAACACCATTTATATTATTATATTGTGTTGTGTTCAGCTGAATTATTATAGAAATAATTATAATACTATAATATCTTTATTTCTTACCCCTTTTCCAGGTGGCTGCTGTGGATCGACCAAAAAGCGTACTATTGTGGGCGGCTGGGCGTGGGCGTGGTGGCTGGTGACCGATGTGCAGCGACTTTCCCTCAATGTGATGACCCTCAATCCGATGTGCGAGAATGTGGAGACCTCCCAGGGTGTTCCGCTGACGGTGACAGGAGTGGCCCAGTGCAAGATCATGAAGGTACGATCCCCGCTATATCCATATATATATATAGCTCTGTTCACCCGATCTCCGCTCGTTTTGTGGCTACTCTGGCCACCCATTTCTCTTCTGCACCCCCAAATCTGAGCGAAAGTGATTGAAGCTTGCCCGAATTTGTTTTTGAGTTTCGTATGCAAGATCTGTTTACCCAATATATTCTTAGCCAATTAGAGTGCCGAAAGTAGCGAGTTGGTATCCTGCCTGCACCCACCTATGTATATCTTCTCTATAATCGATCCGTTTTCGAACTTACTTTAATCAAATGTTTGGCTCTTTGTTTTGTACATTTCCCGCCCGATTCCCCCAAGTAATCCAACATCCATACCCATCGAATGCATATTTAGCCTAGCAAGTGCTCTCAATCTGACCACCGCCAAGTAAGTTGCGATCATCCATCCCGGCGATCTTGTCACGTAGTCTTAGATATAGCCGTTGAACTACACGTAGATCTCATCGAACACCCCGCCTGTTTGTCCCTTATTTTCGGTACATTCTAGAAATTGATTGATAAATCGTACACCCCACCTATTTGTCCCTTTTCTTCGGTACTCATTATAAAGTTATTTTGTATTACAAGATTCCATTTAGCTCCTATTGGTTTTGTCGTCGCTTTGTGGAAAAAAATAAACAATTGTGGACCTTCGACCTTTTTGCTCCCTTTATTTTAATTTATTAGGTTGCCTAATATTATAGATTTTTCTTCAGTTTCTTGGCTGTGTTGGACAGTACTGTGACTGGAACAACCTGAATTTACTTTACTTTTCAGACATATCCGTGATCCGGACGGTATCATATATTATTTATAATTGGATTTCCTGATTAATCATTCACAACACTTTGTTCTGTTTTGTCTTTTTATTAGATTTATAATTCATACTTCTTTTCTCGACGTTTCTTTCATTTATTATGAAACATTTTACTGTTCAAAATTGTACTTACGTATCAGTTTCTATGTGATCACTCAAAGGTTTAGCCATTCAATTGTTCATCATCTTATCAATGGTATTTCGGGATCTGTTGATCTTCAGCTCATACCTCTACTCGATGATTTTTCTGACATTAAAGTATGTCATCTATTCATTGTTCGAAACTAAAAAACATGGATAAATAGTGTATATCTATACCTTTTTTTTTAAAATTCAATACATAAAACTTTGTGGTCAATATTTGACCAGTCCAAAAAATAAGTTTTTTATACAATGACTAATTAATAACGAACTGTCTTTTTATCATATTAAAGCACTTTCACTTGTGTGATTAAAAATATCAATGAACGCTGCACCAAAAATAAAAAAAGCGCACTTCACTTTCCAGTTGATCGCAATTATGATCGAATTACACTATACACTCGCCTGCCTCAAAATTATGTTCTATTACTTAATTATTTCCATTCGATTTTGCAGTCATCTTCGTATAAGCATAATGATTATAATAACGACGAGGTATGTTTATTATTGCATTTATTTGATTTAATGTCCTGGGTTCGATTACCGTTGGTTTTTTGTCCTTTCATTCAAAATTTAAAAATTAATATATATATTTACATTTTTTATCGAGCACCCTAACCACCCACACACACATTCGCATCCACACACACACACACCTAGCGAAAAGGGATCATGATCCATTATTTAATGTTAAATGCATGTGCTTTCGTTCGGGTCTTGTGCCCAAAAATATATTTGAGTTTTGTATGCATTTTGCGTTTATCGAAGTCATTCAATCATCATCATCAGAAGCTGAGGAGGAAGAAGAAGGAGAAAGAAAAGTACAGTCTGCAAAATAATACAAAGAAAATATCGAAAATCGAAACCATGTTGATCTCTGTGTTCTACTCTCTTTTTTCTCTACTTTCTTTTCACCACCACCAAAAAATCGACCAAAAACCCTGCTGACCGATCGTTCTACGTTCAACTCATCAAAAAAACTAATCCGCAACTAACTGTAACTGTAAACGAAATCAACTATAATTAACCCAAAAAAACAAAAAAAAACACACACATGCATTCAACCAACAACAAATCATTTAAATCTAAATTGTTCTACTCAAAAAAAAAAAATACCACAAAAATACTGCTCCTCTACCGTTACTGCTACCGTTACTGCTCTGGTTGCTGCTGTTACCGTTATACTCCATGTATCGCTCTATATATCTCTATATATACGTTATAAATATAAATATATATATCTCTCTGTCGCTCTGTCTATGTGTGCATGTGCGTGTGTGTGGGTGAACTATAATTTAAACGAAACCAACGAAACAAAAAACTTATAAACAAACAATAAAAAACCGTGATCAAAATAAAAAAAATACATAAAAAATCAATCAATCGAACCTGCAAAATGCCCTTTACACACATGCACACCGACATGGTGATACCCACACAAACACACATCCTACCCACACACACAAACACACGCAAACACACACACACACGTACAGATGATGAATGTCTATTATTTCCATCATCAGGCCGACGAGCTTCTAGGCACTGCCAGCGAGCAATTCCTGGGCAAGAGCGTCAAGGAGATCAAGCAGACGATCCTGCAGACCCTCGAAGGACACCTGAGGGCCATTCTGGGTGAGTACGAAGTCACACTTTGAGTTTCTAACATCTGAAGTTGACCCATTTTGATCAAGAACTGAAGAGTTATTTATCACACCATATCAAAATATAACGTCATTTAGGGGTTTTTCTTTTAAAGAACCTCATTTCTTTATAAAGTTTAATTTAAATAAAATCTGATAATTTAAATATAAATATTTCTCTTATAAGATGGTCCCATTTTTAACCCATTTTCATGTTCGATTTTTCGTTATTTCCAATGGGTTCTAGAACGATACCCCAAAACTGGACTTCCAGATTCCATAACTTTAGTAATTGAATCCTGATTTGGACGTGGGATACCTCTATGAGTTTGTGGTTAAATACCCTAAAAACCTGAATTTAAATATTTATTTTAACGAGGGTCAAATTGTAAAGCCATTTAATTTTTAATTATTTAAAGATGAGTGACCCAACAATTCTGTTTAAAAAAAAATTGTTATCAAACTAATAGAAAGTATTTTGCTTGAATTAACCTGCCTACCAAATGATTGGTGGCATTGATCTACTATAATATCTTAGTTTACCTTAGTTCGAGTTGGATAGATCGATGCATACTTTTGGGTGCTATAAGTAAAGAGCTTTTGCTAAGTGCCCGATAATAAAACACAAATATATTAATCGTATGACCCATGATTTATTATTCTTGATTTTTGTATTCCCCTCCGTTTTTATGTTCTTGATTTTCGTATTCCCATTCGAATTTATGTTTTTGATTTTCGTATTTCCATTTGATTTATCATGGTTGCAGTTCTTCATAATTAGTTCTGAACTTGAGTCCTCTTCTTCAGGCTAGTGTAATTTTGTTTGAATTTTATGTTTTAGTTTCTTGATTAGTGCATTTCATTCAAAAGTTTGCATTTGTATGCCATTGGGCATCAAATTTGTGTAAGTTTAGTAGCAATTCCATGCTTTTTCTGTTATTTTCTCGAGATTTTTTTGAATTCGGAACCCTTCTATGTCTGTAGTAAGGTTTCCGAATGGTTTTGTGGCAAACAACTCAATTTGGAAATGGGCAACATTCTTTTAAACGATTAACGAGCGGGTTGTGATCATCATTTCTTGTAGTACATATCCAGATTGGGCTGATCGAACATATTGATGGCATAGTCCAGTTCGTCCAGCTGACGTTCGATGGCCATCTTGCGATTGCGCACGCGCAAAGTGGGCTCCGAAACGGGCAGATGGTTGTATTCCTCGACGAGCTTGCCATACTTGAACTGGGCATCCTGGAGTGCAGCATTACGTTCGGTGGTGGTCAGTGGTGTGTAGCCCTCGTAGGCGGTGGGCGGTGCCTTCTCCACTTCCCCTTCCCGGGGCTTCTGGTCCTGCAAATGCGTTGGAGGCGGCATTACCTCCATCATCTGCGATTTGCGACTGACTTGAGATCTCTTCGAGGCCGTGGTGCTCCTAGAGGCCACTGATATATTAGACTTGATGGTGGCATTCGAACGGACACTCTCCTGGGAAACGGATCTCTTGGACTTGATAGTCTTGGCCGAGGCACTGCTGCGGGCACTCAAGGGGGCCTCGGGATCGGCGTTCTCCTGGGCGTGGTTGGGGATCCTCTGGGAACGGCGAGACACGCGGGATGCTCGTGAAACCAGGGAAACGCGATCGGCCTGATCACCTTCCCCCTGTTTGGACATCTTTACTTCCTTTTCGGCTTGGTGACCCTTAGTGGGAGCATCCCCTCCTCCTTGGTGACACTGATGGGGCGGCATCGGCTCGGCCTGGTGACCCTGACGGAGGGACATTGTATCAGCCTGATGACCCTGACGGAGGGACACTGTCTCGGCCTGGTGACCCTGACGAAGAGACCCTGCCTCGGCCTGGTGACCCTGATGGGCGTGAGGGCCGTGATGACAGTGGCAGCCGTTGCAGCACCCCATCGACGGCTTCTTCTGCTGATCCTCCCAGCCGCCCTGCATGCGCTCCTGCTCCTTGCGCACCGCCATATTTTGGGCCATGTCGCACAGATTCGGTAACCTGGGAAGTGACGCGGACCTGAAGCCATACGGCTGGGCCAGACCGCTCCTCAGATCGGGGGCTTCGTGGGAGGCATGACGCTCCTGGCTATTGTATCCATGGGGACGCAACGGCTCCGAGTAGTGGAGCACCACCGGACGCCACAGGGGCACCCGGCGGGCATGGGCCGCCGCCAGGCACCTGCCATTGGTCTCCATTCGGGCGACATTCTGCTTGTTTTCCTGCAGGAAGTCGCGACCGCCGCCATGTGTCCGCCGTAGCGAGGCCATCTCAAACTTCGTGTTCTATATGTCAGTGATAGAAACTTGCTTATCGGATTAACACGTTTGGAAATATTTTGTATTCAAATTCACATAAAGAAAACGAACGAGTACTGTAACTTATTTCGGAAGCTAGAGTGATTTTTTCACTTATTTTTAGGTGTGCGTTATGGTCGGAGTGGAAGATGATACTGACCTATCCGGGGCTGGGATATTGACAAGTCGGACGAGGTTAAGGACAAAGCCTACTTTGTATTCGGGTTACTTTTTCACTTTTTTCATAGCCTTCTTGATCCCTAGAAATGTATTATACTATATTTATACACAGAGAGAAATATTCAAGTACATTGTTCTTGAACTGAGAACTTTCGTTCTTGAAAAGCGTGTAAGGACATTTTGATATCAATGTTCTCAATACTAAAACAAAATGGTGAGAAGAGAAAGGTTATATTGAATTTATTTTACATATTTAATAATAGTTTAGTTGTTGAGATATACATTGTAAATACCGCCAATTTAACTTAATTCAAGGACAATGAAAACATTTTCTACTCAAATGAAAGCATCAGAATTCTCTCTGTGTACATATGTAAAAATTGCAGTTATGCAACTTAATAATGCATCAACTGTAATCACACTTTATAGTCGCTTTATGCCTATAGTATAAAATAATAAGTGCGAAATGTCGTGTGTGCTTTGAATGCATTATCAATGGGCTTAACATGTGGTTTCTTAATGATTTATTAGCCCTCTGAGAAACCAGTTATTGGTTTTGAAAGAAAATTCCATCCGACTGTCAGGTTAGACGTGTACATTCTAATTAATAACAGGAAAATGGCTGACCTTAATCGTGCATTATTATTATTTCCCTGTTTGCTATTGATTGATTTTTTGCTTTTCACTTAGGTCACAGAAAGATTACGGTATTCATAATACCTTAAAATTGTTTCTTATTTATGAGGAATAAAACTATTATTACTATACTATTATTCTAATATCCCTATTTAATATTGATCAATTTAATTTGACCAAGATGGATTTCCCACTAAGACCACAGAAATATTAAATAAATTATATTACCTTTTTTTGGGGATGGAAACATTGGTATTTCCTTAATTTAAAGAAACCATATGCTATTATTATAATTTCCCTATTTAATATTGATTAATTTTTTCCTGCCCAACATGGGCTTTCTACTAAGACCACAGAAATATTACAATATTTATAATACCCTAAAATGATTTCTTATTTTTAAGGAATACAACTTTAGTATTTTCTTTAATTTAGAGAAACCCTATACTGTTTGCAGTATTCAAGTTTGCACTCTCAACTCTTCGTATTTCTGTTTGCCTAGACCTTGCCGCGACCTTGATGGCCAATCTACTGCTTTTAATTAAACATAACTCGAGTCGAGGGTTTATGAGACCATCGAACCCCAGTCGTTATAGTTTACTATAGTTGACTATATCGTATGTTTGCGAGACGCTCGAGACCTCAAGGCGGTTTCCAATTGGCGGCGCGATTACAATTTCATTTTGCGAGCCGGTACCCGATTCCAGTACCGATTCCCATACCCATTCCGAAACCAAGTCCGAGTCTCCGGACAATTTGAGCTGTCAGTCAGTTGGAAGCGCATCGTGAGACGCTCCGGTTGTGGGGTTTTATTTTTTTAATCGCGTGTGAATAGTAGGGGGTTCAAAACCTAATATAATAATAATTGTGGGTGCCATGGAGACCTGCCCGCGTCAATCAAAACAGCTGTGATCTCGGAACTACCACCGTGATCCGATTTATACCCGCTCGAACCCCTTCTTCTAGAGTGACGTCACTGTGGCATAGGACTCTTATCAACGCCCGCCGATAAGACTGCGACAAATGACGTCAAAACGCGAAGAGAACACTGCATGATTTAATTAAAAGCCAGAAAAAGATAGATGGTTAGATAGTGGGGAACCAGCCCATTGCCCAGATAGCAATCCAATAAGTAGACCCCCGTTCGGTGGCCCCCGGAACAGTTGTTCTACGACATGTCAACGGTGTGGATGGGCGTCTTCAAGGTGGCCCTGATAGTGGGCGTCACCACGCTGGTGGTCAGGCGGTAAGGTCATCGATTAAAGGTGGAAAGAGCCAACCCATAACCCCAACCCCAAAACACTTGCACAACGAACGAATATCACCCCGAGCACAGTGGTCACCCATAGTCGGTTTACTATCATATCTGCGAGGTTCTTATCTGCGGCATGCCAACAGGGTATTTACAAGTATCTAAACATATTTATTTGTGTTGTTGACACAATGAAAGCATTCGCAAAGTTTTATTTGCCACAAATTAGCAATTCGTCCTTCTATTTAAGTACGTGCTACGATATTCGCCACTCCAAGGTTCCTACAACTTGATTCCGATTTGAGAACGTGATTTGTATACTGCATATCAAATTGCATAATTGCATGTCTTATCGAAGTTTAAGTACTTCTTGTTGAAGCGTTAGACTGGGATTACAGTAGTCAAAACAAACAAAATAATAAAAACATTTATTATGGGTTTTTGATATTATATAATAGGTATATTTTAGAGGCTTGAGAACAACCCAGATGGTTCAAAGTTAATTCCACCAATATCACTTTGATATATGTTCAATTTTTTATTTATATTTCATTTTATTAATTATGTTACATTTCTTTAAAATAACAAAACGATTTATTTATAGGTTTTTGATGGTATAAAATAGTTATATTTTAGAGGCTAACCCAGAAGGTTCACCATGTTAGTACCACAAATTGGGTATAATACCCTGATTATTGAACTGTCCCAAGTTTTCTTTGTGTACCATCTATATTTATATTTGCCTCCCCCCTCCCATAGCGACACCCATTTAATATTCGATTTCTTGTGGCATTGCAGGAACGCTTACAGTCGAAGAGGTGTACAAGGACCGCGACCAGTTCGCGGCCTTGGTCCGCGAGGTGGCCGCTCCGGACGTGGGTCGCATGGGCATCGAGATACTCTCCTTTACCATCAAGGACGTCTACGATGATGTGCAGTACCTGGCCTCGCTCGGCAAGGCCCAGACCGCCGTGGTCAAGCGGGACGCCGATGCCGGAGTGGCGGAGGCCAATCGAGATGCCGGAATCCGTGAGGCCGAGTGCGAGAAGAGCGCCATGGACGTGAAGTACTCCACGGATACGAAGATCGAGGATAACACAAGGATGTACAAGCTGCAGAAGGCCAATTTCGATCAGGAGATCAATACGGCCAAGGCAGAATCGCAGCTGGCCTATGAACTCCAAGCGGCCAAGATCCGCCAGCGAATCCGTAACGAGGAGATCCAAATCGAGGTGGTGGAGCGACGTAAGCAGATCGAGATCGAAACGCAGGAGGTTCACCGCAAGGATCGCGAGCTTACTGGCAACGTGAAGCTGCCCGCCGAGGCGGAGGCCTTCCGCCTCCAGACCCTCGCCCAGGCCAAGCAGTGAGTATACCAAAAAAACGCGAATTCTTCAGTATTTAGAGAAGTCCCTAAAAAGTATTGTAGTTTAACCAAAAATGGTATCCATCGCGTTTCAGTGTCGATTTTTAATATTTCGAATTAGAATTTAACTTGTATTAAGGTCATCTATAATTTACGGCCTCACCTATAGATCAAAATAGTAATCGCTGTGGGAATTATACTTCCAACGTTGCAGCTTTGTCATGTTATAGTACATGTGGTTGGCCATTATCTGTCTGTAGATACATTCAATTTTGGCACGAATGATTGCAGTCAGCATGTAATAAATAGCAGTACTTAGCTATTTATAGAACCAAGGCTAGTAATTTTATTGTAGATGGTGTATGTGGCATTTGTAACTCAGTTAATCCCTTTAAGAACATTAGGATTTGTAGGATAAATGTATATTATTTCGATTATTAATTAAAACTTTTTTTACCACCCCTTCAGATGCCAGACCATTGAGGGTGCCCGTGCCGAGGCGGAGCGGATCCGGAAGATCGGATCGGCGGAGGCCCATGCCATCGAGCTGGTGGGCAAGGCGGAGGCGGAGCGCATGCGGATGAAGGCCCATGTGTACAAGCAGTATGGCGACGCTGCCATCATGAACATCGTGCTCGAATCGCTGCCGAAGGTAAGTGATCTTTGGTTTATCATTTTGGAACCTTACTTACTAGTTTTTGAAATCCCCCACAGATTGCCGCCGAGGTGGCCGCTCCACTTGCCAAGACGGATGAGATCGTTCTGATCGGAGGCAACGACAATATCACCAACGATGTGACCCGCTTGGTGGCCCAGCTGCCGCCCTCGATCAACGCCCTGACCGGAGTGGATCTGTCCAAGGTTCTGTCCAAGATCCCGGGGGCCAAGGCGTGAAACCTAATGGAATGGGACATCCAGGAAATGGCAATGACAACGTAACGCAACGCTGAGGAATTGTAAACGATCTTAAAACCGAAAAAGAAGGACAGAAAAGGATGGAGCTAGTGTGCTAGAGAGAGAGAGCGTGCATTTGTTAGAGAGAGACAGCAGCGAACGGAACTTGAGACTCCAAATTTGAGTTTCGAAATGCAATCGAACGTAGCAAAATGTACTCCGATATTATATTTATATATACGTATATATATATATATATTTGTATATGTATATGCACACATGCAATACACACATACACTTGTCTCGTCTGTGTGGTGTGCCAGTGTGTGTGTGTGTGTGATGTTTGCCCGGGTAACAATCAAAGAAACAAACAAAAAAAAAACAAAAACCAACGTTAATCTCAGCTAAAGTTATGCATTTCGTACGCAACATTTTGTGGCCTTTTCTCTCGAAAACGAAAAAACGATAACGATAACAAAAAAATCAACGTGAAATTTGTATAACTTTAAAGCGAAAACCATTTAAGCAGAGTGTTAGCTATTTATTTACTATACTATATATACTATATATGTACATGCAGACATGCTATACACAAGAGTTCTTTTAAGTAACCGCATCAAGTTTCATGCCACACAGTGTTGTAAAGGTATAAATCAATTTACAGTGTTGTAAGGTTGTATATGTGCAGCCCCTTCTTTCTCACTCTTTTCATCTGTTCAAACTACAACTACTGCCTATCGACTAAAGCCAAATCTATAAGCTAGTGAGCCAAATGGAAAGAGAGGGGGAGAAAGAGTGCGACTATACAAGTCGACCGATCGATTTACTAATTATAAAATTCAACGGCCTCACTTAACCAAATGGGATTGTGTAATAACTTGCATACTTTCAGGCACCTTAATTATAGTTTACATTTATTAAGTGCTAGTGGCTATAATCATATGGTTATACAAGTTTTCTTCAATTTTTGTAAACGTTTATTTCTATTCGACTTCAATTTTCATTTTCAATTACGTTACATTATGTCTGACTTCAATTATATCTGATAGTTGCTAGAAATTCCAAAAGCCAAACTAATCGATCGAACGACGATTTGTGAGTAACTCATATGTAACTTTACAACACTACTTTTCTGTACTTGGCGCTCTTCCAAAACCCACACACACGCACACTGACCAACACACATGCGTTCGAATTTTTATATTCATTTTAGTGCACAAAGAGAAACCAATATTTATTTGTTGTTATACAAAAGTTTCATACACCTATGTCTGTGTCGATTAATATTTGTTTTCTTGTTTATTTTTTATATGTATAATAACACATATTGAACTGCGAATATGCATTTACAATTTTTGTACTTTATTCTTACACTGTTTAGTTTATAGCAAAAGGCGAGAAAAAATAAATAATATATATTTAAAAGAAAAAAGGGAACTAATTTTGTTATTCACTAACATCTAACTGGAATTTACATAGTTAAACAATTTATCCAGCCCTTTCATTTTGCTAGTGTAATTAACCCTAATTTTTGTAAGCACTTCTCCAAATCACACACACACACACCCATTAGACACACACACATACTCACATATATATTTTTTTTCTATTGTATATTAAGTGCAAGTAATTTTAAATGTAATGCAGTGTGAAAGAGAAAAAGAACAAGAATACCAACCAACCGAAGAACTAAACTAAAAGCTAAACCTAAATAAATCAAATGTAAAATTTTGTGTATTTTGTCGTAAATAAATAAATTGAAAAATTCTTATAAAATTGATTGATTTTAGGATTGGAAAATTGCAATCAACTTTGGTGATGGTCAATGGGTAAAAAGGAGTGCTTCATAATTTGTTCAATATATATTTCCAAAGCTTATTAAGCAGGGTAATCCTTAAAAATGTCTCAGTAATGTACCTTTAAACATAAACATAATCAGTTAATAATCATGATTCCTTGTAACTTTAAAGAAGATCTATTGATAAAGTTCCTTCCATTAATACTCGCTCATTTCAACTAGTTCATTTCGTCTTTATTTTCAAACATTGTGGCATACATGGCATATATAGTAATGGATTTGGCATGCCGCCGTCTTTTAATACGATTAACAAACAATTTTCTTACAGTACTAGGCAAAAAAAATATATATGTATATAGGGAATATCATAGTAAAATATCGGGTTCTGCATTAAGTATAATCAAAGGTTAGAGTACAGGCATACAGATTACATTTTATAGATACGTATATGTTTATGGATAGGGTCTAACGTCTGTCTAATCTACACTTACTAACTATGGACCAATCGAGCGACTAATCGAGACCTATGCCTAAGCCTAAGAACTAAATATTTTCGAATTGGTAAATGCAATGTCTAAACCAGTGCCCAGGGATCAGGTTGGATCCAGGGCCAACATTGAAGTCCATCATATACATACATGTTCTGCGGGGTGTTGCCACAAACCAAAAGAGTTCTTCAAGCTGGACCATAGACTTGGTCTTTCCTTAGAGAGCAGACAGCTGGAAGAACTCTAGAAGTCCATGGGCCACCCCCGATTGAGACGAACGAAAAAAAAATCACAAAAAATATTTCTTAACCTATGAAGATCCCTCCTAGTCGGAGAACTTTTCCTTGAGCTCGCGGCGCAGAATCTTGCCGGTGGGATTCTTGGGCACCTCGTCCACAAAGATCACGCCGCCCTCCAGCTTCTTGTAGTGGGCCACACGTTCGGCCACGTAGGCGGAGATTTCCTCGGCGCTGGCCTTCTCACCCTGACGCAGGACCACAATGGCCCGCGGAGCTTCGCCGTTGAGCTCGTGGGGAATGCCAAAGACGGCCGCCTCCAGGATCTTCGGGTGATCGCGCAGCACTGCCTCCAGTTCGGCTGGTGGCACCTGGAATCCCTTCACCTTGATCAGCTCCTTCATGCGGTCCGTGATGTAGAAGAGCCCATCCTCATCGTAAAAGGCCACATCACCGCTGCGCAGCCAGTTGCCCGGATAGAAGGTGACCTGGTTGGCCTCCTCATTGTTTAGGTAGCCAGCCATCACCTGAGGACCACGGATGCACAGCTCGCCGGTGGTACGTGGACCCACGCCCTTGGCATCGCCTCCGTCCAGGGGCACGATCTTGGCCTCCGTGCTGGCCGGCAGCACTCCGGTGGAGGCGTAGACCTTGTTGCCCTCTGGCGTTAGGAGAGCCACGGGTGAGGCCTCGGTCATACCATAGCCCTGCTTGAAGATGGCTTTCGGGAATCTGTAGACAAGACATATCATAAGCTGAGGTCACTCCAAGTTATCCACCGAAAAACTCACTTGTTCAGGAAGCGCTCCACATCGTGCTGACCAATGGGAGCGGCTCCGCTCATCACAACCTTCAAATGGGGAGCCGTCTCCTGAGTCATCTTGGGGTGGTTGATCATGAAAAGGGCTGGAAAAACAGGTATATATATTTAATAATGATTGCTTAACAGACTTGAAATGTTATTTAGTTTGACCTACGATCCTTAACGATAATCTTAACTTATATTCAATTTTTAGTTACTCTGTCATATTGATTAAAACCTGTTCAATACTAGGAAAACTACTTTTGCAACTCGTTGATCCGATAGCATACAGTTTTATAAACCAATTTTAAAATACTTTGCTTAGGCAATTAATTTAAACAGGTATGCAAAACTAAGGTGGCGATAAAAATAATTTACAAATAATTTGGTGGACTATTGGGTGTAGTACACAATTTCATCACCTACTTTCTATATTTATCAAGAATACAGCGAAAAGTTAAACCTATAGTTTTGCTTACCGAGAGAATATCGCTAACAATGTCTAATAATTAAAATTAACAGTCTGGTGCCATCAAAACCACCATACTTGTCATTAAACAATATAAATATAATAAGTATATTAGGCAACATTTTATTACGTTGACATTGTTGGCAAACAAATTAATGTGTAGCCTTTTGATATATTTAGATGTTAAACCTTATTTTACCTAAGACATTTATTCCAAAGGAAGTTTTTATTTAATGAAATAATTTTGTATCAATTTCTGAATGCCATGTTAATCTATCTCAACAAGTTAAATTGCGTTTTCGGTGAAATGTAGTTTCTCAATATATTGATATGTTTTATTTGACAAAAACTCTATAATAAAGGAAATGTTATAGTTAAAACTGATAGCAACAAGTTTGCTATTCTTTCTTTTTTTTTAGCTTGGTCTAGCCGAATTTCCCTCTGAATCCCGTGATAGAACCCTCTGTAAATTTCGTAAAATTTATATCCTTCAACTTTATGTTAACTTTCTCTGGCAGATAACGAACTAGAACCTTAACTTGACATTAAGAAAACGGCCCTTAGAAGGTTATTTAAGGTTTACCGCAAACCAACCCCTTTATCACTCAGGTTTTACTCACCAATGGGTGGCACCAGGTTGAGGATGCTGCCCTTGTACTTGTCCAGGGACCGCATGAAGTCGTCCGGCTTGAAGCAGGGCATGGTGGCCAGCCGACAGCCCTGTCCCAGCTTGGAGAGCATCACCACGGTCAGGCCGTAGATGTGAAAGAAGGGCAGGACGCCGGGCAGCGTCTCCTGGGGACCCATGAGGTCCAGGATGAGGGAGGCCTGCACCTGCTCGCAGTTGCTGGTGATGTTGTTGTGCGAGAGCATCACGCCCTTGGGCAGGCCGGTGGTTCCGGAGGAGAAGGGCAGGAAGACCATGTCGTCGGCGGTGGCCTCCTTGGAGGACTTCAAGTCCTCGTATCTCACATGCTGGGTGCTCGTCAGCTCGCTGAAATCGATGGCGCCCTCGGGCAGGGACTCCTCCGCACTGGTCCTCACCACGGCGATGGGAATCTGCCTGCCAGCCAATTTGGAGGCCTGCTTTAGGGTGGCAAATCCGGACACAGTTCCCACCAGGAACTTGGCCCCGCTGAAGGTCAGCTGCCTGGCGATCTCGTCTGCAATCGAAATGTGACGATTAGTAACGGTCTTTCGACTTTGGAACCCCTAAATACAGATGTCACCACATAAAGACCCCGCAGATAAGAAGCTTTTGACGCACTTAAGAGCCCCCAATAAACATACGCCCCACATGTACAGCGGTGGTCACGCAAATAGCTAATTGTTTACCTAATTAACTGGCTCATTTTCATAACTGTTTTCGGGTACATGCTTACACTTTTATTTGCCCTGAACTTTTATTAGCTCTATAAACGTTTTTATGCATCGTACTTGTTTGTTTGTTGGGTTAACTAAACAAATTCAAATTGTCGAAATAACTTTTAGTAGGTGAGTGATTGCTTTGTTTTAATAAGGAAAATCCCCAAGATTTATTTTGTTAAACTTTTAATACTTTACTTATTATACTTGTAATTACTGATAATTTTGCTAAAGTTTTTAAAAAATACCATAAAAAATCTCTTGTTTCTACTGTTTATACTATTTTTTTTTTAGAGAACAATGTATATTTACCAACATATCTTTGAAAAAAATTTAAAACAATTGAACTATTTTCAGTGTAGTACTTTAAGACAATTTGCAAAGCTGTTATCTGAAATCTATTGTTGCTATTCTTTTTAAATAATGTATACGCGTAGCTATTGTATTTCAGCTCATTGTTTACTATTTTAAGAACGAAATGCTATCCTCGCGAACACCGCTGTACAGTGTGTATCTTATCACCGGCGTTTTCCCAAAACAAAAACCGGGAGCAGAGCCCCTTGGGGACTTTTCTTACCCGGCGTGTAGACGGGATTCACGGTGGTCACCGTCAAGCCCGCCTCAATGGCTCCCAAAGTGGCGATGGGGTATTCTGGGAGATTCGGCAGACAGATGGCCAGAACATCTGGCTTTTGGAGCTTGAACTTGGTCTGCAGACGGACGGCAAAGGCAGCGCTGGAATCTCGCATCTGGGCGAAAGTATACTGACGATCGGTGATCACACAAACCTTAAAAGAAGATATTAAAAGGATAAGTCATTGTATAAAAGATACCAACTGACTTTATGTATTTAAAACCAACCCTCTAATTTCCCATTCCCCCAGCTCTAATAATAATAAATGTAAATCAGCCAAATCTGTAGGTAACAAAAAATCAAAATCAACCAAAATCTGGGAAAAACACATACATATAGGCACGCAAATCTTATCTTAAGAACGTTTCAAGTGGAATCATATGTCCAAGTGGAATATTTATGGAAAGAAAAATCCTGAAACTTTATATTATTATAGAACAGGTGTAATTGGCAGTATGGTGAAATTAAATAGAGCACTCACTACTGCCGCTGATATGGGCTAAATCGTTTACAGCCCAGTTAAAGAGCTAGCTAAG